AAGGAAAGTTACCTGATCGCCCAAGTAACTTTGACCTGTCTCTCTTTGGGAAGATCGAACTTCTCCTGGATAGGAAAATGTCCGTGCGTACCTGCATTATTAAAGAACGCACTAACTTCTATACAGACCAGAATGCTTCACATGTATTCGAACAGGTGCTATATGTTCGATTTCATCCTCTCCAAAGTGGATTAAATCTGATAAATCAGAGGACCGCATCAGATGGGCCATGAATCTCCCAGAATACCCTCAAGATGAAGAGGAAATATTAAAATCGTGGAAAAGGCGGTTCAAAACATGGAGAAAGCGAACCCGCCTTGCTCGATTTAGGCAGCGGGATTGTCGTTCACCCAGATGGGTTGAACCTAATCCAGTCCGTATAGATCAGTTCTCTTCTTTTGGTGAGCGCTTTATCAGAAAAATGCCATATTACCACTGATGCCCTCGTTCAAGATACTGCCTTCTAGTCGAATAGACAGCCCAGTATACACACTGCTTACGATCTTGCTCTTTATTCGTTTGTGATATGAGATGGCTTGGCATCCTTCTGCTACTTAGTGTGGATTTCATATCTTTCAAAACACAAAGTACATAGTAGCAGAGTATAAGTACAATGAAGAGTCCATATGAAAGAGTCCTAAGAGCCACCACGTCCACATGATAATGGAGGAAGGTCAGCGTTGCCCAGGGGCATTGTATGGTGGGCACGATACAAAGTGGACTTGGTTACCAGACGAGAGGTTTTGTGCGTGCTGGGGTGGACTCGCCGGCGTGGAAGAGAGGCCGCTATTGTTATAACCGTACCCACCACCTCCCCCACTGGCCATGTTGGTATGCATAGTCGAAGGAGCGGGATTATTATAACCGTACCCGCCACCTCCTCCACTAGCCGTGTTGTATCCCATACCACCTTGTCCATACGGCTCGCTATAATACTTTTGCGCCTCCCCTCCTACCGCTGGTTTATCGTAGATTTTATTGGTGGGGTAAGAAGGCGTGGCGGGCGGGAGTTCGTAGATGATGATGTGCGGCGGAACGTATGGGGTGATTATAGGCTCTATGGGCGCTGGATGGTACTGTGTGATCTCGATTTTAGTCGGCATTTGTGGTTGAGGCCTGAAGCAGCGTCGCCAGATGGCATGAACGCAACTATAGAGGAAGATGAATACCAGGACTAGGCACCCGTGTCAGCTCTCAACTCTTCCCCCAAAGGTAATAATCACAACAGAATAAAGAAAGAAGGGTGATGGAGGTCACGAGGTGTAGGCGATGGACAAAAGAAGACGTACTAGGGACGAGAACGACAGCCCACAATGGAGCATTCCAACTCCCGAGCTTGACTGTTTTAGGGGGCTTCTTGCCTCCGTTTCCATTCCTGTTACTTCCACGGCCACCCCCTCCTCCTCGCCCTTTCGCTGCTTCTTCCTCTTCCGCGGCGTGTGCCAGCAAGGGGAACAGCAGAAGGACCAGGGCGATCCATGTACACATGAACGATCTTATAGATCTCGTAACCTTGAGCATTTTAATCCTGTTCGCGTTGGATTTGTAGAGGAAAGATAGAGCGCAAAGAGCCGGGCAAGTCTCGAGACCTGG